AGCTGTTGATTTCTCCTGCCAGCCCCATTGGAAAGAAATATTTTCCCAGGCTTGTATTTGATTTCAACACTCAATTATTTTCTTTAGTCTCTCTCGCAAGCTAGTACATGTCCAATAAAGTGTTTAATTTTTTTCTCTTTAGCTGTAAACACAGTACAAATCCAACTCCCACATAAACAGTATCTGCTGCAAAATCATGTAGCACCCACATATTTGTTTAATGAAACAAGGCCCAAATGGAAAAGTTACAATCTCATTTAAAGTTTACATGCCTGAGGACAATTCTGATAATGTTTAGAGGTAGATAATTGTGGGAAGCAGAAGAAATGAAAGTTAAATATTGGCAGTTGCTGAAAGAAAACTAAAAGTCTATTTTCAAATCCATGAGCAACACCAACAAATACTGTGATGTAAAAAGGCTAGAAATTTCATGAGTATTTGATGACTAGGTATATATTCTTCTCAAGTTCCAGGAACTTTCTGACTTTCACAAGTACGATTGCTTATGAAAAGGAATAAGAAATATTTATTATTGCAAAGCATTCAGAAATGGCTTTGCAGTTGTAGAATTCAACTAGAGTCTTACTATTTTCAAAGACTAAGGATTTCTAGGTACTTAAAGAATGCTCTAAGAAGTTTTGAACTTGGTATCTGGATAATGCCACAAGATAAAAACAAGGGAAGAAACAGATACTTAGGAGGACTTCAAGCCTTAGGTACCCAAGGGGATGGGTACCTCATTTCACAAACGTTAATAAGGAACAAAGAAGCCAACATTTTGTACAGAAGTGAATGAACTTCAGGGAATAATCATAAGCATTTCCTTTCTGCTTTGTTTTGTTTTTCCAGGCTAAAAAAATAGAAATTATATAACTGAGCCTTAGTGTTTGTGTAGCTTAGAGAATGAGTTATTGCAACATCTTGACTTGTGTTTATAAGAATTCTTCCAAGTTTCATATTTTCACTGAGGGATCCAAACCATCCAAAATTTACTTTAAAGGGTCTGATGACTTCTTAGAAACATCTGACGACCAGATTTGGCTTTAAATAAAATTATATATTTTTATTGTTCTTACTTTTTCATCTGGTGTATATATGTGACTGATGTTGGCATTTGTCTGCCAAAATAGACCCACTAAATACCCTCTCAGGTTCCAAATTTTGAGTTTCCAGGAAGAACCTCATAGAAAAGTTAGTTATTGGAAAAGTGGAGATTTAGGGGTCTCGGGGCAAGACTGGAAATAACAAATAGAGAGGAAAAAATAGCTCAACAACAACCACAGTTACCAAGAAATCAATTTTAGGGACCTTAGCCATGAATATTTATGTAAAGTTGAACTTCAGACTCTAAACTGAATAAGAATGTTCTTATAGGTCTGTTCCTACAAAGATCCTCCACTCTATTCCTTCTACTCTGTTTCACAGATCTATGACTCATGCACATATTTCCTCAAGATTATTATCATTGTCCGAAGTTTCTTTGTAGTGTGTGATGTCTCAGTTCATCCACTGCCATTCCTCTACATGACTGGGGTCTCGAACCAATTACTCTATATTCTGTTCATTCTCTTCTTATCTAAAAGGTGATCTGACATTTTATTCTTATGGGGATGGTGGTGGTGGTGATTAGCTGACTGATATTTGAATTTCTTTTTATGGTTAAGGATTCTCCTACCTTATGAATGTTGGTGCAAGACAGAACAAACTTCCATTGTGAAAACTGAGAATATGAGTTATTCATTGTTCCAAGCTCCCTTTAAAACAGGGCACAGTCACCTGGTCAGTTCTTGGCCCATCAGATTCACCCAGTTAGGATTTTGCCTGATAGAAGCAGAGACAGAGAAGCACCATTCCAGGGGCAGGTGGCATGGCAGGGCAGGAAGTTCTGCTGATTCTGTGGCAGAGGCAGAGGGAGCAGTGGGGACAACAGAGTTTGTACCACCTACAGTGCAAGTTGAGACTTTCAGCATTTAGTAGTTTCATTTCTAAGACATAATTTTGGCTATTAAGGAAAATAATTTCTTAAAAAATATATTAAGACTGTAAGAAAAACTGAAATAGAGCAAGATAAACTAACCTGATCAGTCTCCACTTCAAAACTTTTAATAAAATCCAACAGAATAATGTGTAACTTGGTTCTTTGATCCATAATCCCTTTAGGAATATGGCCAAGTTAAGTTTCAAAACTGAAACCCTGTGACAGAGCCACACAGTTGAGTTGCAAACCACGACAGACTTCTCTGCTGCTGACAAACAGACCTTCACATACAGACCTTCACCACCTACTTCCCTTCACACTTAAGCATCCTCCTCAAAAATCCCTTCCTGGATTCAGATTTTTAAAACTTATTTTACCTGGTAGAATCACTTATTCTCTATTTTGAGTTCTCCTAGACCTTGGTGTCTTTTGAGAGCATTTACAATGACTATGCCTGCCTGGGGCAGATTTATTTTCTCGTTTCCTGATTCCTAATATCTAGCACAGTGCCAGTCAGTTGATGGATACTTTTAGGGTCAGGGTTTAGACAGGAACCAATAACAACAACAGCAATAACAAAAAACCTGTAATAATTAAGGCACAGTTTGATCAGAGCCAGAAAAAATATTTGGATCTAGCAGGCCCATACAGTAAAGGCATACAAATGTGATATTTATACAAAGCTTATTGGTGAGGGAACCACATAAATTTGAACGCCTAACTAGAAGGAGAATTAAGTGAACAGATCTTGACATTCCAATAAACTTCTTTCTCCAATACAGTCTTTATATTGGTTCTGAATTGTTTACAGTCTTCAGTTAGCAGAGGCCAAAATGTTGATTCTTTTAGTAACAAGGAACTCAAGAATATTTCTCCTACATAGTGAAGAACCTCAAATCAATTTCTTAGAGAATAAAATATTCATTTGATCAAATATCATCAAATCCTTGATTAAAAAAGGCCAAAAAGAAAGAGATTGAAACCTAACGAACATCAGGCAGCAAGTATAAGAGAAACATAAGATAAGCTAACTTTTTTACTCTTGTACTTAGTTGGTAAGTATGAGCATTTTCATGGCATATTTTGTATACAAAATGCAAAAAAATAAATAAGATGAAATGGTTAGTGAAATAAAAAGGAAAACCCTATTACAGTGACATATTCTCACTCATATTTATAGCAACACAATTCATAATAGCTAGATCTTGGAATCAGCCTATATGTTCATTAACAGATTAGAAAAATATGGTATTTATACACAATAGAGTATTACTCTGACATAAACAAAGATACACTAGGGGCTGGGGATTTAGCTCAGTGGCATAAGTGCCTGTTTTGCAAGTGTGTAGTCATGAGTTTGATCCCTGGTACAAAAAAAGAAAGATACACTTGAGTTGTTTTGTTGGAAAATAAATGTACCCAGAGACCATAATTAAGTGGAATAAAACAGACACATAAGCTTAAATATCATATGGTTTCTCATATGAGAAACCCAAATTACAAATAAATAACAAAATGAAAGATAGATTATAGGTAGGAGAGAGAGAGATACAAAGGGGATCAGAGGTAGAGGGAGAGAAAAAAGGAGATGAAAAAAAGAGTTAAGATGTATTGTGTACATGCACCAACACTACACATGGAATGTAAACATTATATAAACACATACTAAAAAGTAAATAAATAAAACAGTTGCTAAAAGAGCTCAAAACAGAAAAGACCTAGAAATACATGGGTGAAATGCGTGAAGACGACATCCTTTGTATTTAAGTTCTTTGTCCTTATTTGTCTTCAGATTCTTTGGCTTCTCTCTACTAATGAAGCCTCTCATGCTCTCACTTTCTTTCTTACTAAGATCATATCTGATCCACCATTAAACACTGCTCCTTTCTGTTTCTCTAAGTCCCGCCTTGCAAAATCCTAACTCATGGTGGCATTCTGGTTTGTCTCACTACAAACATACTACACCTTCCCACCTCCTCAGAGAAGCTGTTCTCTGACACTCCTCCTGCATCATCAGACTGTTCCTTTTAGTGTTCATACTCCAACAGGCTAAAGTAGCCTCCATTTTTAAAAATCCCCCCTCTGAGTCACAGTTCCTAAGTACCTATTCTCTTTCTCTATCTCTTGACAGTTGATTTGTCCCATCTACATGTTCTATGTCTATTTTCTCACATTCTATATCTATTTACTTCCATTTACTGTTTGGTCTACTGAATTCTAAGTTATGCCTCATATTACAAAATTCTACACTATTAGGTCTTCATTCTACTGAACCATCAGGACATTCCTTCCACTCATACCATTTTAGGCTAAAAGGACCTCTTCTATTTGATCTTTAAACTTTAAAGTTTCTCAGCACTCAGGCTCAGAGCTTTTTCCTTTCTTACTGGCCTGTTGGCAGGTGCTTACTGAATAATAGGAGTCAACATTTTTGTAGTAAAACCGCTTGGTTGTCTTTGCTTGATTTAAAGAGATTTAGAAATTGCTGATTTCCAAAGGAGGCAACAAATCATGTGCCTTTAAGTCACAGAAGGACGACACACAGAATGACTGCAACTCAGTCCTTTGGATAACTGATGTAGAAAACAAGAGTTCAGAATGTGAGATCAAACCTGATTAGATTTACAAACTCATTCAGATGCAGTTGAAAGTATCCTATTTAATTTCCGCATTTTGTGCTTCTCTTCATATTATTCATAAACTTAAAGGCACTATTAAGCTACCAGACTTCAGGCTTTAAGTATGCACATACCAGAGCAGGCACTCACAACTATATACTTTCATACATTCTGCAAAGAGAAATGAGGCTTACTGCCTTATATCACTGAGCTGCATGCTGGTTTCTCTGTCCAGAGGTATAAACAAGAATATTTTGCATTTGATTTTATGATTCATCTTGTCACAAACATAAACTAACAAGGCTGAAAGAGATGCTACACGGATGGAAAAAAGAAAGTCCAGAGCTGTGAATAATATTCCTGCAGATTGTCAAGTAAAATGAAATAATAAACAAAGCTCATACCATTCCTGGTCCAGATCTAGTGATCAAAATGTTATGTTCCAGAAATCTTACAGCGTTCACTGGAATTACATATACCACCAACAGCCAGAAAAGAGCTTGCCCGGTTTCCTCATTGCTGCCTCCAAAAGAATAAAGGTCAGATCCTAAAAATCCTATAAAGTTCACTTCACTTTCATCTTTCCTTTCCCTAGACTTTCTCATTCTGAAATAAAAAGCTATGATAAAATTTCTTGCTTTTGTTTAGCAAAATTTGAAACTCTTCCTATAGGATAATACAATTAAATTAATCAGCTTTTTTATTGGTTGGTTGGTTGGTTGGTTGGTTGGTTGGTTAATTTTGAGCCAGGATCTCACTATGCAGTTCAGACTGGATTTCAGTTCACTTTGTAGCCCAGGCAGGTCTGGAGCTTGCAACAATCCTTCTGTCTCAGCTTCCTAAGTGCTAAGGTTTACAGGTATGTGCCACATTGCCCAGTTTTAATCAACATTTTCAATATGAGATTTAATAATGAGGATTAAGAAAGGAAAACAGTTTCCACCTGTTGTTTATAAACTTTTCTGTATCCTTTGTGATTTGAGGCTGTAATGGGAATTAGACCAGTTCTAGAAGTTAATCATAGTCATACATTGCAGTCATTAGGTAGCAGGTATAGATTAAATAAATTTCCAACTAATCCCAAATCATTTCATGAGAGTTGGTTTCTTCAAACAAAGCACTAGCAGATATCTCATTGGCATTTATCTTTCTCCTAAAAATAATTTTCCAAAAATCAAAGGCAAAAAAAAAAAAACATTCTGCTAAATGAAGGCCTTTTCTTCAAAGAAAAAACAAAATGTTCTAGGTGAAGTCTAACAGAACAAAGGAATTAGTTACATTCAAACTAGTTCACCTGCCTGCAATTCAAAAGAGATGTGGGAAAGAAGATGGGCTTCAGATTCTAGAAAGTGCTGAAATCATTTGCTCAAAAGTACTACAACCTATGCTGACCAAGGTGTGTCTGTGAAATATTTTACTATAAAACAACGTGTTATAAACTGTTGTGCAACTCTGGAGGCCATCTATGTGCACAATTATTTCCATTAAACTAGTTACACTTTAACATTTTTCCTTTGCATCCTGTTTTCTTTTCCAATTTAGGCCACAAAATTCTTATCTGAAAGGCTTATTTTCATTTCAGGTCTAAGTACATGAGAGCTAGCAATATCTGCTGTAAGCAAAAGTAATATGAAAGATAAATAAAAAAGAAAAGAATCTATAGGAAGCAAAGCAAACCTTAGGAGAAATAATGACAAGTTAAACCAGGTTTATTCTTAGGCCCAAACAAACTACTCCTACACTCTGTCAGATACCAACTTGACTCCGAAGAACCTGCTTTCCAAATATCTTTATTTAATGGCATCTGTATTTTCTCACTGGTAACACTATCCAGCTGCTACCTTTAAAATCCTAAAGAAAACAGTGCCAAAGGGAACCTCTTTGTAATCTTTCCTCATGGCAGACTACAGCACCACGAGCCTGCCCTCGAGAGGCTGCTGAGGTACCAAATTTTATTCACTCTCTCCATTCCTACTCTCACAGCCCTGGACTATCTGAGGGTCAGGGCCAGCGAAACAAAAGTGGAGCCCTAAAGAACATTTCCATCTTTACCAGCCCTGAGGACAAAGAAAAGATCTGAACTAGCCTCATTTGCAAAACTGGAAATCCCAGTCTAAAATGGATGTGTTGCTTACTCAAGGCCACATAGTCAATGGAGACCCACTTTGGCAAGGAGAATCACGATTTGGTCAATCATCCATGAGATTTTTCTTTTACACTCTATACTATTCCCTCCACCAAGCCAAACAGCTGGAAGAAAGGCTGGCTAACATATTTCTATGTATTCCTACACTTTTGTTGTATTTGTTATTATTACATGAATGTCCAGGAGCAGCTTAGCCAGGGAGAGAGAGCAGCAGCCTGCAGCACAATACAATTTTGCAGGAGTCACTTCTCCTCAAAGGGTGGCCCAGCTACAAGCTCTGCTTCTCCATGTTTCCCAACCACTTTGGCTGCGAGTCATCTCTCCAGCCTTGAGAGTTGCATATGGTGAGATCTCACTATGTAAACTGACAGCAGAGCCAGTCCAAGTTCTCCCCCATAGAAAGGGACTGGAGGGATCCCCCTGTGTCAGAAAAGCAGAAAGAATTTGTATTGCAAATGGCAATATTTCCATAGGGAAGAAATGGCTCCAAAGTCCTTTTTGTAAGCAATAGTCCCTCACCTTGTATTAAAGATCTCTTTGCAGTCAAGCAAAGTCTATGATGCCTCTTCACAGCTATATTCTGAAACGCACAAAGTAAAACACATACACATACTAAGCAAATAAATTACACTGAAATTTTAATATTGAAATATTTTTTAAAATTAGTGATAGAAGAATATACTTTTCCTTTATTAATACATTAAATAGGAAGATCTATCTGTGGGCCTGATAATTGTCATATTCTTTTAGTAGAGTTGAACACCATCAATATCTCATGATATAGGAAACAATCATGACACAAAAATATCTGTGATTTCTCTTAATGACTGACTGAAGCCAGAATACTACAAATACTACTAGAATTAGTTGCCTACATTCACACTGAAAGTTAATTCTAAATTTCATTAGTAATTACTACAGATAAAGGTATAATGATTTTTAATACAATTCCACAGGATTCCTGAAATGCAGTCAGTAAAAACAGGTAAAGATCTACTCTGAAGAATCACTATGACGTTATGATAACCATCTGTCCTACTTGGTACACGCATACCATGTATACTTGAGTGTTAATACATTATTAACATTTATTAATGTCATTGCCTGTGAACTGAAGGTTATACAGGAGCCAGTAGGAGTTACTCCCCATCACTTTCACCACATCAATAGCTAATATAATTTCATTAGCTCAATTAGCTCATGTGCATTATTTTCCAGAGTGAGATCACTGCACCAGAAAATATTATTTGCAAGTATTATAGCAGGTATTAGTGTAAGCCTATCTTTTTCTGAGATTTTCTACCCAAGCCAGATTTCAGTAGAAAGTAGAGTAGTGTAGCACTGGTTAAATGAATTTAGGAAAACTTCATTTATCACAAGGAAGAAAAGAAAGATTCACTACACAGCACGTGGGCACCAGCTGTTGCCTGCCTCCATTTTAGCAAGTTAGACAAAATCACAAAACTATCAGAAATTCAATTTAGTTCATAAAATTGGCTTTGCTTTCTTCTGTGTTTAGTAATGTTCCCATCTCATTTTCTTATGCTTTTCCTCAGAACTTTATAGGTAGCAAATGCATTCTTGAATAAACATAACCCTTCTTACTAGTGAGTGTCGGGTTTTACTTCTTAACTGAATTTTAAGTCATGTGTAAGGCAGAAGTTACACCTGCCTAGGCACCAAACACAGTGCTGAGCTCAACAGAATTTTCAGAAGTACTCATTCATTGATCGGAAGTAAATAAGAAATATATTTGAAAGAGGAAAATATATCAGTTTCTTTACTGACTACCTTTGGTTTTTATGGACACTTTGTTTCAGAAAATATACATCGGAGGGAACTGATACATTGAGATAGTTTGGACGGTGGTTACTAAGAATGGATGAAGTTTCCTTTGGGGAGGTTACATGATTAAGAATGTTTTTAGAATGGATGTGATGTGATGTGATGTGATGTGATGTGATGTGATGTGATGTGATATAATGTGATAGTCCTTGGCAACAACAGTATCATCAAAGCTTAATTATCATTTGGTCATTCATTCATTCATTCATTCATTCATTAAATAAACATGTATTGAGGGATAAGTAGGTAAGAAAAAAGATTATCTGGTATAGACCTTCAGGAAATCAAAGCCTGAGAAAATGACAATATAAATTAATTTCCTTTATTATTGCCCAACTTAGGTTTTGAATCAGTGCACTTTCTCCCTATCATTGGTTTTTATTTCCAATCAGTTGCTATTTATACAATATAACTTCCTTTATCAAATTATATTGCTAAAAGATAAATATTAAATCATTTTAGTACCATTTAATAATAAATAAATGGATAATAACCCTAATGTCCAGTAAGAAAATGCTTCAGGAAATATTATTTTCATAAAATAATGTACCAATACTATGCTTATGAAGTGTTTTTAATTATATAAAACATTAATGTTGATTAACAGACACAGACTGAAAATTGTAAATACAGTGTGATCTAAACCATATAAACACACATACACAAAAATAAAAATGGATAGAAACAGTCTAAAATCTTAACCAAGCTTATGAATATGATTGATTACAGACATTTTTGCAAATGCAGAATTTGTAATGAAAAATTATAATAGGGTTGCATAGCTTTTATACATTTTAAATTCACAATTTTCTTTTATTACAAAAAAGGAATTTCACAAGTATAAACCTGATCATATAAATCATAATCTGGGATAAGAAGCCTTAAGTGTCTTGCTATGACTTAGCAAACTGATGCCAATTCTCCTAAACTAGAGCAGCCTTCAAGAGTGCTTCTTCTTTTATGGTATTTCTCCCATTTCACTTCTGCAGATGGTACCTCACATTCCGGGATGTCGCCTGAAGCTCTCCAACCTCCAAACCTTTGCTCAGGCTGTTGTTCCTTTCCAGAGCTAGATTAAGGAGAGGGCCAGATGGCAACTCCCCCTGCAATGCTCAAAAATATAATGAAATGAAGCAAACTGTGTTTACTAGGACTCCATTCAGAAACAGCACTGTAGGTGTTAGAGAGGAATAATTTAATAAAGCCACTTAGGAGTGGGAAACATTGGCAGGGGTAAGTGTGAATAACCACAGATGGTAGGTAGCTAGACGGCCTTCCAGAGAGAGTGGGTTCAGGTAACCACAGAGCTTTAATCCTGCTAAATAGGTTATGTCAGCCAGGGACCAAAGCTGAATTGTTCACTCCAGGCAATAGAAAAGATGTAGAGTTATTAGCCCCACTAAACAAACACTGAGCAAATATTTAAGACCATCCACTTCATTTGAGGACCACCAAATTATAAACTGGTCAGGGTACTCACTCTTTGGTCCTGCAAGATTGGCTGTTTTTCTTTAGGGGTCT